TTAAAACTTAACCCATGTAGTTTCTATATCATATGGTTTTCTTTCTGCTCCTCTGAGAGCAGAATCTTAATAATTTTAACTTCTTTCCTTTAGCGTCAAAAGCAATACCTGAGACATAGACGACTTTTTATGGATATTGAGAGAGAACAAGTAAAAGAACAACAAAGGCAAAAAGAACAAAAGAAGAAAATTGAAAAGTAAGTTCTTTGATCCTCATTGTGAGCCTTAAATTACCAATTATGATGTTTTTGGAGGCTAAATTTTAGAAAAAGGCAATGATTTTGACTTCTGATCTATATTGGAAACAACTATTTTTGATCTGGGTGGAGTATTGGAAGATGGTGAACAGCTATGTCTTTCTTGTTTGTTTGATTTTCTAATAGATTTTATTTTTTAGAGAAATTTTAGATTCACAGCAAAATTGAGTGGAAAACACAGATTTCCTGTATACCCCATGTAGTGCACATGCATAGTCTCTGCCACTGTCACTGTTCTACACCACAGTGGTACAATTTATTACATTTGATGAACCTACAATTATTATTACCCAAAGTCCATAATTTACATTAGGGTTCCCTCTTGGTATTGTGCATTTTATGGGTTTTGAGAAATATATAATGTAATGTGTCCAACATTATAGTATCATACAGAGTAGTTTCAGTGCCCTAAAAGTCGTCTGTGCTCTGCCTATTCCTCCCTCCTTACCTGACCCCTGGGAACCATCGAACTCAACTGTCTGCATGCTTTTGCCTTTTGCAGAATGTCAAATAGTTGGAATGATACAGTATGTATGTAACCTTTTCAGATTGACTTCCTATACTTAGAAATATGCATTTAAGTTTTCTATAATGCCTTTTTATGGCTTGATAGCTCATTTCTTTTTAGCACTGAATAATATCCCATTGTTTGGATGTATCACATTTTAGTTGTTCATTCACCTACTAAAGAACATCTTGGTTGCTCCAAGAATTTGGCAATTATGAATAAAGTCACTATAAATATCTGCATGCAGGTTTTTGTTTGGGTTTAAGTTTTCAGCTCATTTGGGTAAATAACAAGTAGTGTGGTTGCTGGATCAAAGGGTATGAATATGTTTAGCTTTATAAGACACTGCCAAACTGTCTCCCAACGTGGCTATGGAATGCATTTTGCATTCTACCATCAATGAATGTGAGTTCTTGTTGCCCCACATCCTTGTCAGCATTTGGTGGTGTCAGTATTTTGAATTTTGGTCATTCTAATAGATGTATAGTGGTATCTCATTGCTTTAATTTTCAATTTCCTGATGACATATGATATGGAGCTCATTTACATATGCTTCTTTGTCATCTGTATATCTTTTGTGACATGTCTGTTCAGATCTTTTGCCGATTTTTAAATCGAGTTGGTTGTTTTCTTATTGTTAAGTTTTAAAAGTTCTTTGTATATTTTGAATTACATTTCTTTATCAGATAGGTCTTTTGAAAACATTTTTCCCAGTCTGTAGTGTCTTTTTATCTCTTACAGTGTCTTGCAGAGTGGACATTTTTAATTTTGATGAAGTCTAACTTATCAGTTCTTTCTTTCACAGACTGTGCCTTTTGTGTTAAAAAATCATTGCCATATCCAAAGTCACCTAGATTTTCTCCTCTGTTATTGTCTAAGAATTTTACAGCTTTGTGTTTTACATTTAGCTCTGTAATCCATTTTGAGTTACTTTTTGTGGCAGACATAAGATCTGTGTTTAGATTCATTTTTTTTCATGTGGCTATCCAGTTCTTCCAGCACCAATTGTTGAAAAGACTTCTCTTTTCTTCGTTGTATTGCCTTTGCTCTTTTGTCAAAGATCAGTCGAGTGTATTTATGTGGGTCTGTATTTGGACTCTCTGTTTTGTTCCATTGATCTGTTTGTTCTTTTACCAATACCACCCTGTCTTAATTATTGTAGCTTTATTTATTTATTTTTATTGAT